TTGTACCCTTGTAAGACAAACCATAGAGGTGATCCCTGCAATCACCCTCCCTCCACCCATCCACCCCTCCCCCTTCCCCTTCCCCTCCCCGAATTCTCATTTTTCAAATTCCCAGAATTTACTGTCAAAAATATGCCAGTTCTGGTGGTGCCTGTGGCTCAAAGGAGTAAGGCGCCATCCCCATATGCCGGAGGTGGTGGGTTCAAACCCAGCCCTAGCCAAAAATTGCAAAAAAAAAAAAAAAAAGAATATGCCAGTTCTAATTTTGTTTTATAGAACTTCTTATACTGAAAGTGGGATTGTTTTTTTCTTATTTGTATTGTATATATTTAAGGTGTATAACATTTTGATATACATAAACAAAATAAAATAATTACTATGGTCAAGGAAGTTAACATATCTATCACCTCATATAGTTTCCTTTGTGTGTGTATGTGTGTGTGTGGTGAGTGCATCTGAAATCTACTCTTTCATCAAATTTTTGGTATACAAAATGATATTATTAAGTCCTTATGCTTTATATTAGATTTCTAGATATTCATCTAAGATAACTGCATTTTGTGCAATTTCACCTGGATCTACCTATTCATACCCCAACACACAATTCTTGGTAACCATATTTCTACTCTCTATTTCTATGTGTTCATTTTTTTTTATATTCCTTATAAATGTATAAGTGAGATCATGCAGTATTTTATTTTCTCTGTTTTATGTCATGTAATGTCAGCTAGATTCATCCATGTTGTTATACATGAAAGATTTTCTATTTTAAGACTGAAAAATATAACTTATTTTTACCTCCATGTGTTAACAGACACTTCAGTTATTTCCATATCTTCAAGTTCACAAATTCCCTATTTTATCGTGTCTACTGTTGTATTCTTACTTCATTCATTGTATTCTTCATCTCTTGAATTTCTGTTTGGTTCTGTTTTATGATTTATATCCATTTTTTAATTTCTAATTTTATTCATATATTCTTCTTTTGATTTTATTTATACCTTCTTCTGATATTTGTAGCTCACTGAGATGCACTAAGACAATAATTTTTGAATTCTTCATCAGGAAACTTGTAGGCTTCCATGTATTTGGGGTCAGTAGTGAAAGATTATTATGTATAACCTTTAGAGATGTCATGTTTCCTTGATTTTTGTATTTCTCATAGGCTTATGTTGATATCTTGTATTTAAAGAAAAATTTCATTCTTTCAGACTTTCTAAACTAGATTTAGTGGGAAAATATTTAACCTATTGATGAGTACAAGGTACAAGCTGGGTAGGGTTCACAGCTTCAGTAGTGGGAGACGAGATAGGCACATGGCCACTGAGGCAGCTCTGTCAGTTGAAATCATCATTGGAAAAGATAGTGAGGGTTCTAAATATCTAGAGCTACTACGTCCTCAGCAATGGAGAGGATTTCTGGGGTTTTGGTGGTGAAGGCTGCTTGGGTCCTCCTCATTTCCTTTTCTCCTGTAGGAGGAAATTATGGTAAAGAGCACATTCCTCTTGGCACTGGGGCTTGTGTTCAAGTGTGTGTGCAAGGGTGGCAGTCCCTGGGCCCAGGATGTAGGCATGTATGAGGCAGTAGTGTTGGTGGTAGCAGAGCCTGTGGCATGTGCATACATGTAATGGCTATTCTAGTGTCTGAGGAGTGGGAATAGTGCCAGGGTTTGGGACATGTGCTGTAGTCCCAAGTATGGCTTGTTGGTGGCCATACTTGGGACTACTAATTCTCAGGTAGCAGAGCAACAGTGGCATCTACTCTGGGAGCTGTGCTGCTGGAACTCGAGGGGATTCTGTATCAGGGATAAGTGTCAGTAAAGAGCTGTTGGAAAAGACTATGGGAATTCTGTAGCAAAAGCTACAGATGTCCATGTGAAAGAGTGGTGCGGACTACTGGTATTCTCAGTGGAAAAGACTTCTGAAGTCCTCCTGCTTTCCTTTCCCCCCCATGCAAGGAATTCATGGATTCCTCTTGGCACTGAATTGTCCTGGAATCGGGTAACATAGGTAAAATACTTACTTTCTTATGCAACCATCTACAGATTTTGATCTCCATTTGGGTAGCTGCAACTCTTCATTGTGTTCCATTGTGGGTTTTTTTATTTTTTGCTTTTTTTAATATTTAAATAAAAATTATTAATTAAATTTAAATTTAATAGCATAACTGTGTACATTAATGCAATCATGAGGTACAGTGTGCTGTTTTCATGTACATTTTGAAATACTCTCATCAAACTGGTCAAGATAACCTTCATGTCATTTTCTTAGTTATTGAGTTAAAACATTTATACTCTGCTTTTAGAAAGATTCACTTGTGCCCTTGTAAGATAAACCATAGAGGTGACCCCACCAATCTCCCTCCCTCCCCCCAGCCACCCCTCTCACCTCCCCCTCCCACCCCCTTCCCATATTCTAAGGCAATAATTAGGTTATGACATTCCTATAAAACCTATGAATTAGTTTCAGAATAGGGCTGTGTACGTTGGATACTTTTTCTTCCATTCTTGAGATACTTTGCTAAGAAGAGCATTTTCCAATTCCATCCATATAAACTGAAGGAGGTAAAGTCTCCACCTTTCTTTAGGGCTGCATAGTATTCCATGGTGTACATATACCACAATTTATTGATCCATTCATGAGTCGATGGGCATTTGGGCTTCTTCTATGACCTAGCAATTATGAATTGAGTTGCAATAAACATTCTGATACAAATATCTTTGTTGTAATTCAATTTTTGGTCTTCTGGATATATACTTAATAAAGGAATTGCAGGATCAAATGGAAGGTCTATTTTTAGTTCTCTCAGTGTTCTCCAGATGTCTTTCCAAAAGGAATGAATTAATTTGCATTCCTACCAGCAGTGTAGAAGTGTTCCCTTTTCTCCACATCCACACCAACATCTCTGGTTTTGGGATTTTGTGATATGGGCTAATCTTACTGGGGTTAGGTGGTACCTCAAAGTAGTTTTTATTTGCATATCCCTGATGATTAAGGATGGAGAGCATTTTTTCATATATTTGTAGGCCATGCACCTCTCTTCTTTAGAGAAATTTCCATTCAAGTCCCTTGCCCACCCTGAG